CAAAAAATATAGAAAACAAAATTAACAATTAGCCTGAAATTTACTACAACATTAATGGGAAAAAATCAGCCTGGCATTGCTGTGAGTTGATACTCACAAAAAGAGAAAACATTAAAAGGGGTAAGGAAAAACTAAAATACAACAATAGCAGTCCAAACAATTATAAAATTCGGAAAAATAAGAAGTTTCGAAAGAGCCTGGTGCGCGCTTAGATATATGTATTTCCCACATCGCATGTTTTTGCCGTGTTACTTGAACTGGTAAGGGATATGGAATTGAAGCGCGGAATGAAAGGACGGATGAACGGAACGAACAGGTGTGCTGCCTCCTCCCCTACACTCTTTACCATTAATTTATTCAGGCGCGACCACATCATGAATCGACACAGCGGTTCCGAAAACAACTGCGACCACGCCTCCAACCAGTAGTGCTATGCAACAGATGGAGTTGAAAACGAACTTCTTCGTGCCCATCTTCTTCAGCGTGAACCCACCAGTGTAGAGATAGAAATATGCAGGCAATAAGAAGCCCAGCACACCACCACAGATACCGCCCAGGAACGAAAATACAGTAGCGATATTTGGGATGAACAAACCACAGATGAAGGCCGTTACAGCCAAAGCAGCACTTATCAGAAGGTTGACCCATGTCTTCACATCACTGGTCTTGCCCCAGCCCAAGGTGTAATATATCGCATCACGAGACGGCTGAATGCAAATGGCGAAGCCTACACACACCTTAATGCATATACCAATGTACGCGATCATAAAGAGCGCACTACTGGCTGGTCTGTACATGAGAAGCAGGGACCCTTCCACGCCCTCACCGAAGTCGCAATACCCAAAGAAGCCCGAGACGAAGTTCAAAACAGCCACAAGGATCATGCTGATAGCACTGTCCCGAGTCATCTTGCTTACAGTGCGCTGGTGCATTTCCTCATAGATCTCAAAAACATTGACCTGACAAATAAAGGAGAAAATGAATAAATTCAGACCCCTCACAGCACTCATGCCAGAACTAGCCAATCTAAGATTCTTGATGGGTGTTCTGTTGGAGTTCTGAGAAAAGTGAATGATCACGCAGATGACAAAAAATATGATGCTCGTAACCCCAACGAAGGACATATACCGCAACGAGTTGATCTGCTTTGGGAGAGACGGTGGCAGCATTCCAACAAACCAAACTAGAGCGGTTAAAAGCCTGACCTTTAGACCGCTTCGGGGGTACTCCGGTTCGCCCTCCTTTTGAAACATAGCGACGAATATATCACCCACGGAAATGACATAGCCGATACACACACCCCAGCAGAACACAAACATGAGAAAGGCCGTAAGATAGTCCCAACCCCTCCCAAGAAGCGATCTAGCCAGCTCCTCATAAGAACGCATGCCCGTCATCTCCTTGGTCTCCACAAGCACGCGAAGAGAGTAAATCGTGCAAGCACACACCACTGCCAGCAAGATTATAGACACAATAATTCCAGAATCGTGGAAACCTCCAGGTACCGTCACGATCCCAGCGCCGAGTGTAGCACTCGCAAGGTTGTAAACAGATGCGACGAAACCGCCGTGTCCGATAACACCAACGACTGGCCTCAAGCAAGAGCAGTAGCATATATCAGCAAGCTCGTCATGTTCTGGTGGAGGGGTCGGTTCCCGATCATTGGGGCTGGAAAAATCATTTCGCTCAGAATCAGAGAAAGTATTCAGTGGGGAGAGATAAGGATTATCGATTTTGCGTGTGGGAGACTGTACCACTTTGTCCGATGAATTTATGGGCTGTGCATCCATGGTCCTAAGATTACTTTTATTTCTTGTCTTTCCTTATAACACGTATATGTTTGAACTTGTTAATGTTACCTTTCGGGAAAGGGATTGTAAGAAAGAACAAAAGCGAGCTACCACTACTGCACTTGACATTTCAACCGTTTCAAAATACACTTGACAAGTTGACTATCCTTGTCTTAAGCACATGGATATTTATATGTATATATATATATATGTATGTGTGTGCATACGCACACACACCACACCATATATGGCGTCTAGCGAATACAATTTCTCCTCAAGACCCCATCCCATGCGGAGCATCGCGCCGTCTCCTCCGCATGGCTTAGTCATCGAGGATGTCCTTCGCCAACCGCCATCCCCATGGGTTTTCAGGGCAAGGGTATGGTGGCGAAAGGGGTACGCCCCGACGCCTCCGCTCCGCGTCCTCAGCCGCATGCTGCAGGGCCTGCTGCACCACTTTGGCCCCCGTCCCCCAGAACAGCAGCGGCCTATCCGGGATGTTCCAGGCCTGGCCAAGCAAAGAGGGTTGGAACAGGCGCCGCTTCTTTTCGAACGGGTTTACTCCCTTCCTCACGTCCTCATCACGAAGTCCCTTCCAGGCCTTTACGTCTGCTGCTGACGTGTAGGACATCCCTTCAGGAATTGGGAGTAGCGGAGGGCGCTCCGCCTCCTGCATCGCATCAAGCCACTCGATTTCAGAAAGGACATCTCGTTCTAAAATGCCAAGCAAACGCTGGGTAACAGCATGTTTTTGATCTGCCAGTATTTGACTTGCTTTCTCAGATTGTCGGTGGTTGCCCATAGCCTTCTCAAGAACCTGCGAAACCTTTTGCGCTCGCTTGGCCACGCTGCTTTGATATTGCTTTCCTCCAGTCAAGTTTCTCTTTTTGTACTGTGCTATGACGCTCAGCGTGATATCATGTAACCGCTGAAATATTGCATTTGACTCTGGATCAATGGCAAATACATTTGGTCCCTGATCCGAGCTGCACTCCTCCATCTTCCCAGACAAGGAGGATAAAGAGTCTGAACGATCTGAAGCTTCGCATATGGACTTCTTCCGCTCCATGAGCTGACGATAAAGCGCCCGGCACTCTTCAGCCTCGGGGATCAGCTCTACTCCAACAAACCGCTTCGCGTTTTCCCGCGCTTGCATAATCTGCCGCTCTAACTGCAGGTATGCTAGGTAGCGCAGACGCTTTTCGTGTAAGCTTTCTAGTCGTGGGTCTTCTGGTCTGAGGAACATCATCTCGACTATATGCGTCACTTTGTCTTTACTCTCTTTGGTCGCATTTTGGCTTATTTGCAAGGCAATTGCGTGTCCAGAACCGCCTTCCTTATCGTTCTTTGGACCGAATTTTTGAATCGTACTACTCGCATGGTCTCCATCCACGCTCGTCAGTTGTCCTTTCTCACAAGTTTCAAGCGACTTCTTAAGTTCAAGTGCTTCTTGATCTATCTGCTGAATATCATGCAGACGCTTGTACTCTGGTGTGTGCTGTAACGGCACCAACAGAGCCCTTTCGTACCAACGTTTAGCCCATTCAACTGGATGGGCATCTTCCTTAGCCGCCATATATTGCACAACATCCAGCGTGCCCAGTTTTTTGGGATCCACTGAATAGAGTTTCTTCAGACTTTCCGTGTACTCATCGAGTCCCTCATCCTCAGAAGTATGGCTAAAGCCCCTTCCCAGAGTCAGACGCGCAAACACTTCACAGAACTGCATAAACTTTTCCTGCGCGTCCAGTTCCTCTAGCAGAGACATCATTACATCTACTTCTAGTCCAACTGCTTTACTGATGGAAGCAGTTAGCCATGCCTTTCGTTTGGCTACGGACTGCACCTTTTTCGAAGTATCAGAATTCGGAGAGTGTGCTTTCACCTTTTTGTGTAGAGAGACCAACTCTTTCAGTCGCTCGAGCTCCTTAAGTTGCGCCTGGCGCTCCTCTATTGCCATCTTACGTAATCTTTCTTGCGCGTATTTGAACAAATGTGAAAGGTGTTTCTGTGTTTCCACGTTTAAGTCTGCGGTCAGGTTGGCGAGTCGACGACGTTCCGTCTCGGTGCTCACACCTTCTCTTTTTTTTCGAACGTAGTCTGCGAATACCTGCTTGGTATAAATCATAGCATCTTCAAGCTTATGGACATTTTCAGGCTCAAAAAGAGATGCGTCGCCGGCTTCATAGATAGCCTGTGACAGCCCCATTGAGCGCTGCGGATTCTTCAACTGAACAGGCAAACCTATTTTGATGCGCTCGTACTCATCCCGCACGGTGCGGTTGGGATTAAGATCGCGTGGGTCCAGCATGGTCGTTTCAAAGTACCGCCGACGCTGCTGCTCTGTGGCCTCAGTTGGATGCTCTTTGAGGAGCTTGCTCATGTACTTAGTAAATGCATGCTTCTCCTCCATTGGAACAGCCTCCCACTCGTTGTCAGTCATGTGCTTTGACTGTTCAGCGACGCTCTGACCAAGCAATAATGCACGATGCTTTCTTTTATCAGACATGTTCTTAGAATTTGAGACGTTTTGGGTAGGATGAAGCCGCTGCGCAAACCTGTCTTTGCTCCCCGTACTTGCGCTCACCCCAGGGTTGGCAAACAAAGCATGTTGCTCGAAGTTCTCCTTATTCCTCTGGTAAGTGTTCATTGCTTTACGCAGTCGTGAGCGCTGGCTCAATGGATTAAGTAAGGAACTACCAGGATTAGGTACTTTTACACCAGGACGGTGTCCAATGCTTCGTGTCAAGCGAATCGATATCCCTAGCATAACCCTATCTTTTTTAATTCTTTCGGTAAAAGCAACACTAGCTAGCGTATCGAAAACAAGAATTTTTGAGGCACGGCAAAAGGACGGAGATTCATTAGCCTCTACTGACATTTGCACGCAATCATATAACACGCATGCATACCCCATCATTATGCATATCTGAAGAAGTCAATAAGGTAGAAAACGTAGATATGCAAATATCTAGACGTCTTATGCATTTAATGTGCTTTAAAGGGATAAATATATTTATGCAAACAGTATTTTGCAATACATCGATCAGAAAAGCATGCATGAAAGATATAGGTATTCTAATTTTTTTAGATATAAGGCCCGAGCGGACTTTCACTTTAAACTAAATAGGAATATCCATCATTGTGATGGATCGCAACATATACGCACGCATAGAGCTAAGCTAATAGTAATGAAAGAAAACACTTTCTAGCCCACATTATCCGATTTGATAATATAGTTACAGAAAATCAAATATTGGAGTATATTACGTGCCTTATTATATATTCACTCATTAAAATTTCAAGCTCACTCGAGAATTTCTCCTTGAATCCGATGCTTACAACACTGAAAAAGCAAGCCTATCAAGAACATCGTCGGTTATCAGGAAGGGTGTTTAGGAATGAAGCCATGGAGGTTGGCCGTATAACTACGCATCTGTCGCTTGTGAGAGTCCTTCCTGTGCTACTTCGTCGTCGTTAAAGAGAGGTCCCCCTTCCCCAAGCAAGCATGCTCTTGATCTTTTAAGAAAAGAAGTTACTGCATCAGCCGCCGAAAAAATATTTTTTCACAGCAACAACTACAAACAGAATCCATTGAATGTACAACATTATGCGCATCCATAGCATGGACCTTTGCATCTGCGAAATGATGCCACGCTGTTCCAGCAAGTGAGCCCGAAGCATCCTCACATGTGCTTCACGCGCAGCTGAGAGCAACACATCCTCTTCCGTAAGTACACCAGATGGTGTCCCACCTTCCCTTTTACTAAACACATTGTTGGCTTTGATGCCCTGAGAACACCCGGTCCAGCCTACGCCTTCATCACGCATCTGCATGAGATGTGATACTCTTGCTACCTCCTGCGCAGCACCACGAATGGACGACATTGACCATAGAAGTATCAGACTAACCATGAGTGCCAGTAAAAGTAGTGTTCCATGTAAGAAAGTGCTGGGGTTCGCATCAGAAGACGAACCACCACCGTTGTCAAAATCTGACTTTGCTAGGGTTTCATTACCCTCTCCCGAGTCGCCATTCTGGAGCTGAGGTATCGTCACAGCCTTATCTTTGCAGAGCCTTTCTGCAATCATAGACACCATAAGCTTATAACCAGACGTCATCTCCTTCAGCGCACGCGGTAGAACAACGTATTGGATCGCAGAAAAGGCAAGGGACATTTTCTTACAACACCCCCAAATGGTGACACAGCAATCTGCCGTAGGGGAGTCAGCGGCGATTTCAAGCAAGGACTCAGTACGGAAAGAAGTACCCGCCGGGATGCTCGGGATTTGCGACGATATCTGGTAAACAAGGAGCAGCTTATTGTCGGGGGCGCTTGTGTACGCGAAGCGATGGACCTCGTTCAATTGAGCTGCGGTGTTGGCCTTTGGCACATCCATAATCATCATTAATGTGAGAAAACGGTACCCACTACTATAGTCGGATGTGTACTCCCATGGGGAAATAACAATATCTGTCGCCTTCCTCCTGTCATGGTAATTTTGGAGGAATTCAGATCCTTCAAATATATTTTCCCACAGCTTTTCTATTGTAACACCTTGGAGAAGGGTCGACGGAACGATAAGCTTTTTATCCTTCTGGGTGGCAACAGAGAACATGTTCTGCGAGATATTATCTACTTTGTATTGCTGTTTTGCCAAAAGCTTCTCCGGCGCAATCCCACATGCTGGCACGATGCTTCCCGGCATTATTTAATAATCAAGTACTAAAATAAATTCTATAATTACTCATGTAGATTTGTGTATAGGATAAATTAAATTCCCTTTCCTTGTTATATATGTAATGACTTCTTGAAATTTATGCCAATATATATGTATTTATTTGATGGGGTGGAGAGGTCAGAGGAAAAAAATGGGAACATCAAAATGAACATCGTCATCGAGCCCAACAAAAATCTAAGCCCGACAAGTACGCATTTTTGCATAACTATCTTTGATAGAACATTAGAATTCACTTTTAGTGTTTTTCATTTAAAAGCATTCTTTAGAGGAAATGAAAAAAATGAACAAGGGAAGCATTAGCGAAACACTTCATAATTTCGTTTTAGAAACGGAGACGCTGGAAGAACCAGCGGTTGCAACCCGCATTGTAGCGCGCCTGGAACAACTTCCTCACGAGCTTCTTCGATTGCGACTTCTTCGACGCGTCGGACACGTTGATCTTGCCGCGCAGCTCACGTGAAAGGTCGATGTTGTACCGCGTCGGGAGGAAGTGCTTGTGATTCACAACACGCAGAAACACGCCCACCTGCGAGCGGCGCAGGATGGTACGCTTGCTCATCCCACGGATCACCTTCTTCGGGTACTTCTTGATACCAGCCAGAAGTGCATGGCCGTACGGGCGCTCCTTGTTCTTAGTGTCCGTGTTCTGCACGATCACAGCTTTGCGGCCAGCGTAGCGACCGGAGGTCACGATGACCACTTTGCCGGGCTTGAGGAACTTGACCATTACTTATAGTAGATCTCTTCGTCTACCGTTATCAGGGGCTCCTTTTTCAAACTTTGTTGGCAGCTGCGAATATGCCTCCTTTAGGGGGAAGAAAATGAAATCAGTATCGTAAAAGAAAAATGATGTGTGAAGAGATTATCATGGCATTAAAGACAACATCATTTCAAGGAAAAACAATAGGTCTGGAATGAGCAGACATTTGAAATCAAGTATAGTGTTATATACTACCGCTCACCTTATCCTGAGTCCCATTGGGACCGGTGTGCTATTTTCGACTTGTCGAGATACAAAAAGAATCCTCTCCCTCTGCCAGAAAGAAAAAATAGTAAAATGTCATGAAATATAGTTAAAGAAGTTCTCGAGTTAAGCGTGACTCCATTGGACTCAATTTCTGTGTGTTTCGCTCCTCCATTACATGCATTTTAGTTACCTCCCGTAAACCATGGAGAGTATCCCTTATCTGAAATAGACTCGTAACTGACGTTGTAGCAGCGAGATCAGGGTTACTAACAATGGACTGTATGTAGGAGTTCGTTCGAAATGCGTCCTCCAATAGACACCACACCGAAAGAGCATCTTGTACGCGCAGCGCCCCGACGTGTTTGAGTACAAACTCTGAAATGCACAGTGCCTCAGTGGGATACCGCGGAATTAGATACAACCCAAGGATTACTCCATCAATGAGTCGACGCGGATTGTGCATCAGCTCATTCATGTTCTTTATGTCCATATGTCGAACAAGGGTTCTCTCCTCATCGCTGTCCGCCGGTGGCATGGCACCTAAGCAACACCCTATTGCCATTTGATGAAATAAAAACGTGTTCAAACGAAGCTGAGAAGAACGTGAGATATCCAGCAGGCGTGCTCTTACTAGTGGTGCAGTCGTCTCCACTAGCCCGTGCCATGCTGCAGACACCTTGTCAATCTGAGAGCTTCTCTCACTAAAAATACTCCTGCTCGGGGGTGCGTCAGCCTGAACCTTTACGCTGACAAGCGGGTGGTCATGAATTGACGCATCGCACGCCAAGAGCGCAGTATAACGTGAAAGAATGGGCCAATAGCTCAATAAAAGAGCAAGATCTACAAACAAACTACGAGAGGAAACCACTGCATGTTGCAAAGCCTGCATAGCGGCAATTACTAATGAAAATGGAACATGTTGCGATGGCCCACCCAGGCGACACAGCGAGATCAAGAACTCGGCAAGCGTTGTTGACGACCGAACGTGCGCTATAGTGTTTGGAATAAGTTGCTGAGACGCACCTCCAGGATTTTCATTACTATCAAGCCCAGAAGTGAGAGGACCATCAAGAAGCCACCTCAACGTTTGATTTTCGTACTGTCGAAGCTCCATCAATCCGTTGAAGCTGAAAACTGCCTCGAGGTAGGTGAGTTTGTTCACCTCAGACTCAGATCTAAAAAAAGCTCCGCCGTTGAGTGCACCGAAAACGGGTGAGCGCACAAACCTCTGCCCGTTGGATTGACCTATGTACTTCAACAGAAACGCTTTTTGCATGGGTTCAAGGACACCACTAAGCTCACTGAGACGCCTTACACAAATAGAAAGAAAATAGGGAGCATTCAAGTGATGACGGCCCATGACACCCAATACACAAATCAGCTCAAAGGGAGTTAAATCTCGCCCTGTCAAAAAATTCAGAACTTCCATGTACTCACTCTTCGTCCGAACCTTCAGCTTAGACAATGTTGTAAGGTAGCGGACTAGAATGAAAGACGGCAGTGCTGCGATTTCGTCACGCAATCTAGATTCCTTCAGGACTTCCCGTAATACGACGCATACCGAGTAAACGTCTTCGAATACATCTGGTCCACGAGCTGTTAATGGCAACTGTGCTGCCCGTCCAACATTCCTGAAGCTGGAACCCGAAGAGACCTGCGTGGAAGTGACCGCCTCATTGAGAATCTTAATCATATCCATCGCATTGTATTGTGAAATATTTTCCCTGATAAGGCCACAAAGCGCCTTGAGCTTACGCGCTGCGGCCTCGTGGGAAAGCGGGGGAAATATCCATACTAGATCAGCCCCAGTGTGTCTGGCAGTGTTTCTGCCACTGAAGACGCTCCTAATATCAATGCTGGTTGTAAGACTATTTGTGTTGAAATGTCTTAACGGTGTTGCATCCTCAGAAACATGCAATGAAGAAGAAGAGGCATAGAACACATTCCAATGTAGGGTTGTTACAACCACGTCGACCTGATCACGCGGCACTAGTGACGCAAAATGCCGCAAGAGCAGTGAACATGCTTTCTCCAGCGTTGTACAAAAACTCTTAAGTACCTCTACGATACTGGTGTTTGAGCTCGAATGTGGTGAACCCTCCTTGCGAGGTAAACCAAAGCGAGTAAGAAACTCCTCAGGTAGCCGTGGCAATAATGGCAGCAGCTCTGTCTTCACTGCTTGCTCCGCATTTGGACCGCCCCTCTCCATTTGATTAATACGAAATACAACCTCCATGAACACAGAGACAAAGAGAGACAAACATGCATCCCTATCTTCTGTAGATAGAAAAGCACTATCATTCGCCTTCACGGAACGAGACGAAGAAGTAAGGCTAAGGTGTGCAGCTGGGGTAGAACTTGATACATCTGCACCCTCTGCTGTCTCGCTCACTTCCGACAAAATTCGATTTAGAGCAATAAGCAAGGAGCCAAGCTGAGATAGTGACATTTTTTTCTGTGTCTGCGTGTCTGAAAGGCGTCGGACAATTCCAATAAACAAGGGTAACGCGTTGGAGTAAAGTTGTAAATTTGCGAGCCGCAATATCCACGCCACTCCATGGGACGGTAACATTTCGTCGAGGCCTTTCATGGCCGTATCTATCAAGGTGGGCAAAAGCGGCAATGCTGCTTCCAGCAGGTGTTGAGTTGGTTGTCGTGAATGGGTGTTGGGGTCATACCCTTCCAAACTAGATCTGAGCGGTGGCCGCGCACCACGCACCGTGAATACATCTAGCAGAGAAATAATATCGTGCCTACCCCAGGTATTCAATCGGACTTGTATTGCTGACAATGCTTGCGTCATAGCCTCTTCTGACCACTGATGAATTCGTTTCATCAAAAGTTCAGTTTCCTCGTCCCCTGTAGGCACTGCCACAGAGAGATCCGTGCAGCTATCAACTTCTGTGTTTTTCCAATTGTCCAAAACAAGTGAAAAGGGGTGTCCTTGGTGTAACCTCTTGATCACGCGCAGAATCCCTAAAAAATCTATGGGCCGCTCGACAGCATACACAAGCCCTAGAGTTCTCTCCAACAGCTCATGCAGCAACTTGAGCCGAAGTACGCCGCTACCAAACGCAAACAGTTCGAGAAGTGCCTCTGTGACGAGGATATTATCAGAAGCTGTCAGGTCATGCGTGACCTCTGCCAAGCTATCCTGTAAGCATAAGAGACTCCGATGGAGCTCAGGGGAAATAGCCACGGAGGGTTCACATTGTTCCCGAGTAGAAAGCGCGAGTGCGTGAAACGTGGCAGCTAATGATCGTGCTTCGGTATCCGGCGCCAGGGATGTTATGACATCCAAGAGTAGATGGCTACGCACAGTTAAGAGACCAACTTGGCGCAGGGCATGCACCGTCACCCCTAATTGATTGCTTTGTAGAAGGCCTGGTGTGGCCACCCGCTGCGCGAGCAGCTTTAAGATTGGATGGGGCATGTGGAATGTAAGCTTCAGAGAATCTATGGGGAAAACGATGCGGCACCCTCACTCAGACGAGGGCCCACCTATTCACTACGAATTTGTTTGCACCTCTAGCATCAGATGAATTCGGAACAAGAAAAAAGGATTAGGCACAATTCAGAAGTTCTTTAGAAGATTCAAGCATCCATACACGCGAAAAGTTCGACTGACTGCTTCGCTCATGGCAACACTTTTTCCATTATTTGGTGTGCTGCTGTTATAAAAATTTATAAATAATAATTAAAAAGAGACCGTTGATCCCAACATCTTTCATAGAGACATGCCGAAATTAATACCCGATGCGATCCCATGAAGAGCTTCCAGGGCTTCTTAGAAACGGAGACGCTGGAAGAACCAGCGGTTGCAACCCGCATTGTAGCGCGCCTGGAACAACTTCCTCACGAGCTTCTTCGATTGCGACTTCTTCGACGCGTCGGACACGTTGATCTTGCCGCGCAGCTCACGTGAAAGGTCGATGTTGTACCGCGTCGGGAGGAAGTGCTTGTGATTCACAACACGCAGAAACACGCCCACCTGCGAGCGGCGCAGGATGGTACGCTTGCTCATCCCACGGATCACCTTCTTCGGGTACTTCTTGATACCAGCCAGAAGTGCATGGCCGTACGGGCGCTCCTTGTTCTTAGTGTCCGTGTTCTGCACGATCACAGCTTTGCGGCCGGCGTAGCGACCGGAGGTCACGATGACCACTTTGCCGGGCTTGAGGAACTTGACCATTACTTTAAGATGCGGTGGGGTCACTAAAACCAAAAAAAAAAGTTGAAACATGAAATATTAATCGGATCAATTGTAAACGAATATGTACATCACTGGCATTTAGGGAATCCATCTTTGATAGGAATTCGATTTATACTCTTAAAACGTGCGAGTCATTATTTCTTTTCATTGATATGACACTGCAATATGTGTGTTTCGCAAACGACAAGCAAACTCAGAGAGATTAAAAACACAATTATCACTAGTGTGTAATTGATATGCATATATAAGCTTCTCGGTGTACTTTCTGGCTCCCTAAATCTTTTGATAGCGGGAAACTATCGCACGGATAGCCTCTGAAAATGCTGGAATCCGAATTGGTTGTCCGATCCCAGATTCATCCACAATATGAAAAGGATTCTTCATTGCATACTCCACATAGGCTGTGTGGAGTTCTTTGAAAACAGCATCGCATTCTCGTGTGCGTGTGTCAGAGATAAGAACAAACTTTACAAGTGAAGGGGTCTCGTAGATATGAATGTTGTGCTCCTCACACTCAATCAAGGTCATACCAGCGCTGTCAACCGAGTTCGAGTTAGGTGTCAGTTCCTGCGACATGCCAAAGGTGGAGAAGAGAACGCTTGAAATTGTAAGCTGAAGGTCTGGTCTGGCGCCCAACTCACCAATAAGCTCAGGTTTAGTAAAACTGACCTTTGCCATGAGCTGGCCAGATTGATTAATAAGCCAGAAGAGATGAATAACCATTATGAACAGAAAAACCTGTACATGCACTCGCTATGCCTCTTTTCCCTTTATATTGAAAAATTCTGCTCTTTATGTGGCATACAGTATATACTTATGCCCGAAAAAAAGAAGTGCAATCAAAAGTATCTTTTCTTTAAGTGATAGTGAGATGTATTTTAATTCTGCATGTGAACTTTACGGCAACTGGTATGTGTCATAATAAAAATTTTGTGT